CAGGTTGTTTATAAGTCGTGAGACGGGATCTGTCAACCGTGCACAGCAAATACTGGATTGTAAGGACGTTTCTAAGCTGGTCTGTCCATCACGATCATATATGCAGCACAAGAGACATATAAAACCCAACACAGACCCAAAATGACTCTGTTTTACATTCTGCAACGTGACTCTGTAAAGAAACACTGTGTACATACAATTGAAGTCAGAATTATTAGCCCTCCTTAATGATTATATATTTTTCCCCAATTTCTGTTTTATAATATTTGACTAGATGTTTTTTTAAAGATGGTATTCAGCTTAAAGTGACATTTAAAGGCTTAACTAGATTAATTGGGCAAGTTAGGGTAATTAGGCAAGTCATTGTATAACAGTGGTTTGTTCTGTAGACAATCAAAAACAAATATTGCTGGAAGGGGCTAACAATTTTGACCTTTAAATGTTTACAAGAAATTTAAAACTGCTTTTATTCTAGTTGAAATAAAACAAATGAGATTTTCTCTAGAAGATAAAATATTATAGGCAATAAACACTGCTCTGTTAAATGGTTTGGTCTCACAAAACAAACGATATCTTGGAGTCAATAGCTAGACTGCACAATAGGGCCTATAAGATCCACAACAGACTTTCTGGATGGACACATCACTGTTTTGCTCTATCACTTTCTAAAGCTTCAACATTTCAAAACTACATAATGAACACAGGTATTAAACTGTGCTATCAAATTTTAAATAGCGCTAACTCAGCAGTCCTCTGTGCTTTGGTACCAAAACTCAACACAAGGACTGATCGTTCCACCAGATCTGTAACAAATGGATGTTTGCCAGTACCGGCTTTTAAAAACTTATGGACAGAGATCTTTCTTTTATGTTTTCACAAAAGCCTGGAATGAGATCCCACAACATCTCAAAACAATACCAACACTGAGACTTTTTTAAAAATCCCATGCTCGTCATCTGATGGTCAACTAGCGCTGTAGCCACTGAGATAGTAGCCTGCTTTTCTCTATTTTATATGTTTGGTGATTGTTTGTGCGGTGTTGATGGATGAGATGTCTGTCTGTTTTTATGTTCTGCAGAGCAGGAACCTGCTGAAAAACAGCATTCATGCTGAGTCAGGCCCGATTATCTTTCAATATTTTCCTATTTAAAAAATTACAAATAAATAAATAAATAAATATCGTTTGGGAATTTTTAACAAAGAAATAACAGGAGGGCGAATCATTTTGACTTCAACTGTATGGTCTTTAACATCATTGATTGTTGTTTTGGTTAAAAGGTTTTGTGTAAACTACAGAAAAATTACTTTGCAAAATAATAGTCAGCATTTCGTAAAATCATGTTTCTAGTTACGAAATGTTGAAATCATGTGCATGTCTATTACAACTCTCAGAAATAAGGAGCTGTCACTGGCGCAGTACCTTTTTAAAAGGTACATATGTATACCTGAAGGGTCCATAATGGTTCCTCAAAGGTACATTTTAGGTACATTTGGGCACTAATATGCACCTTTGAGGTACCGCTGTGGACTCTTTGGGTACCGGCCCAGTGACAGCTCCTTTACCTTTATTTCTGAAAGTGAATAAACTTGTAATAAATGTGCATATGACATCAGCATGTGGCAAAATCATGTAGTGTACACAGAAAAGATGTTTACACATGAAAGGCACACTAGATGGTTTGTGGAAATGTTTTGGAGAAAACCCAGATGTTAAAAATATAGAAATAAATAGAATTGAAATAATCAATAAACAATATAGATAAATAAACTACGGAACATTTCATTAAGATTATGAAATACTGATTATGATTATGACACACAAACACATCATTATAAAACAAATAAAATATATATAAATTGGAATAATTAAATATCTAGTCACTTCAACAAAAACATGATTTAATAGCTTTTTGACTAAGTGAAGTTTATTCATAAACTAATTTCGAGAGGATCACGTGCTTATGATTTATCACGTCCAGTCTCGCATTTGCTAATCACTAATCTTCCAATCATATGACCCCTAAGGCACCATAAATAGTCTAAGTTTTCAGTTCACTTTATCTTCGTTTGGAAGAAACCCCCCTCCTCCCCTATTCTCCTCCTTTACCTGTAATTGGGCGGCACGGCGGTCCAGTGGTTAGCACTGTGAACCACACAGCAAGAATACTGCCGGTCCTAGTTCGATAGGACCGGTGAGTGTTTCTGTGGGGAGTTTGTATGTCCTTCCCGTGTCCGCGTGGGTTTTCCCCGGGCTCTCCGGTTTCCTCCCACCATCCAAAGACATTCAACATGCTTAACAATCAAGCTGGTCTAATTCCTTACGTTCCCTTAGCTACAGCGGCAGGGGAGTTCTGAGATCCACCGAGCTCAGGCTCCCTTCTTGCTCTGCCAACGGGAGGAAGCCCCGGGCTCGAGGAGCCCTTGAGCTCGGGGCTCTCTCCCGGGACAGCATGCCAAATAAGCTTTGTAAATCATCAGCTAAGTGTGAACTCTTGAAATTATCCAAAAGTAGGATAAACACACACACACACACACACACACACACACACGCATGCACGCACACAAACCAAATAGCCTAAATAAATGATTAGATTAAAACAAATTGAAAATTGATTAAAACTAATAATACAAATATGGTTTAAATATTTTTAAATAAATAAATATCCTACTTTAGTCAGTAGAAAAATGTAACAATGCAAATAAATAAAATATGTTTCAAAAACACAAAATGGGTCTTTATCCAAAAATGCATTTTACAATTCAGGAAGGTGGTCCCTCATATGCGAATCAAATTGGTTTGTAGAAACTACAAAATGAACCTCTGTATTATATGGGTCTCATTACAAGGCACCATACTATTTTATTCGCTACCAGCATTGTCAACAATTTGTTTTTAAAAGGCTTGAAGCTTATTTTAAATTAACCTAAGGATAATTTTAAAGAAATGCATTATAAAAATTCATTGCAGACTTTTTTAGAAACTCATTTAAGACTTTTAAAATGAAAACATGCAGGAAAAGCAAAATCATCAACACAATTGTGTTAAACAAATGAGACAGGCTAGATTACACATTTAATTTAGCATTTATCATCCCAACTGATTCACTTGTGAATTAATTCTTCCTAAATCTGTTTCTAAAAGACACCAGAAAATATAAATGAAGAGTTCAGATGCAAAAGATGCCAAAATGTTTATTTTTCTCAGGCTGCTATGTATAAGTTGAGTAATTTCTGTTTTATGTTAATAAAATATGTTATTTTATTGCCTTTAATGTGAAATTAGTGAACATAAATACAGGAGTCTCGGAAAACTGCTCATTTAAGAATAATATTTCAGATGGCAATTTTTTTTTTTTCAAGTTTTGCATCTGAACTCTTTAAATATAAATTTGATCTCTCCTGAATCTCCCTCATTGGTGATTATGTAATTTCATTGCAGACCTTTAGTGCACTTTTTATTGAAACTCATTTGTGATTTTTCCTACATGCAGAAAAAAAATCATAATCATAACCAACAACAATATTGTGTTAGACCAATAAGGCAGGCCAGATTAAACATTTAACCCAACTGATTCACTTATAGACTCTTCCTAGTTCTGTTTGTAAAAGACACCAGAAAATATAAATATTAAGCATCTCACGAGTCTCCCTCATTAGCAATAATGAAATTTCATCGCAGACTTTTTATAGAAACTCATGTTTGTGATTTTCTAAAGAAGCTGCTGACATGAAATTCATCCAGATTTTGGTAAAAACGGAACAATACAAACACAAAAATATATATATATTTTTTTAATCTGAAAAATGAGTTATGTGTAATAACAATGACACAATGAGAAAGTGCTGAACTACTGAAATGTGTTTAATACTAAATGAAACATGCAGGAAAAACATCACCAACAACATTGTGTTAGACCAATGAGAAAGACCAGATTAGTAGTGGTAGTAGTAAAACTTTATTGTCCTTAACAGGAAATTTGTTATGGGCATCACCATATTGCTGCAGACATTCACTAAAACAAGCTATTAAAAACAATACAAAATACAACAGTTACAAAATGTATAATGCTAATTAAGATAGACTCTTGTTAAATAAACCCACTGAAACAGCTACAAAGGATTTCTTATAGCGGTTTAACCTACACTTTGGGACTCTATATCTTCTACCAGAGGGAAGCAGTTTGTAATGTGGAAACGAAAAATGAGTTGGATCGTTTACAATCCTTTCCACCTGATCGAGGACACAATTCTCATATAAAACTTGAGGATTCATATATTCATCGTGCCCAACAATTTTCCATGCTGTCTTTAAGAGATGCATCAATTTAGATTTACACTGAACAGATAGGTTACCAAACCAAACTGTGATACCATATCTAACAATGCCTTCAAGAACTGCTTTATAAAACAACATCATGAGCTTCTTGTTAACTCCAAAAAGACGCAACCTCCGTAAAAAAAAAATACAATCTCTGGTGTAAACGAGAACAAACCCACTCAATGTGTGTTTTCCATGTGAAAGAATTGTCGATGTAAATGCCCAAGTACTTATAGGTTTCTGACTGAGTAATAGGATGGTCATGTACAACAGCTTGACAATGCATATACATTTTGGGTCAAATACCATCTCTTCTGTCTTCTTACTATTTATTTTTAGCTTATTTCTATCACACCACTCAACGAACTGACTAATTTCTGACTGGTAACACCAACATCATCAATCTCATAAAGTAAACTTAGTATGGCTTAATAGTATTAAACATTTAACTTTGAACTATCTGTCATTATAACTGATGCACTTACGAATTTGTCGACCTTATGAATCTACCTGATTATTAAAATGTCACAGCAGACTTTCAGTACACTTGTTATAGAAACTCATTTCAGATTTTTCAAATGGAAACATGCAGGGAAACATCACCATCATCCCCATCAACAACAACCTGTAGTTCTTTGTTAAAACTATATAATCTGCTCGATAAATAAAGGATGTTTTGTACCTTTCTAAGCAGTTTCAACACATCGATGGCTTGCTCCAGCTTCTGCTCCTTCAGCAGGGTCTGGATCTCCCGAACCCAAGCCACCCTCCGCACATACGGACACGGGCTGGATCTGCGCAGCACCCCGGGCAGCTTGTCGGACCTGAGCATCAGAGAACTGAATAAAAAGTCTCCTCTTCCTCCAGTCCTCCTCTCCTCATGATCCTGTCGACCCCTCCGAAAGAAGCTGGCTTGACTGTCCAAACTACTCTGCCTGGTCAACTTGGATCCCATGTTTCAACTTTCCTATTTCAGCCTCAGTACCAAATAAAGCAACGCGGTTTCATGAAGCGTGCGTAAAGTAGGATCTCTTTAGTAATCTCACGCTCATAATTGCACTTTAACTGACCAAATACATCAAGCAAAATTCATATTCAGCGCACGAAATGATTGAAATGTCACTTTCCTCCGTGTTTCTCCTGCCCCTGCGCACCTCCTCGGCTGTGTTTGTGTTCTTTACAGGCTTCCCCGCGTGCCACGCCCATATTTCAATCACCGTCCAATCAGAGAGCGCGATTCCCACACATGTGTTTGCAGAAATCTTGACTCCGCCCTGAGTGTTTATGATGGGAAGCTCGTTCTGTCCTGTCAGCAGCACGTACAGTATGGATAACGAATCGTGTTTATTATTGCGATCATATAAAATAACCAGTCAATATTGGTATTATATGAAACTAAACAGAACAATTTCACCAAAACACTGGCGATGATGTTCAAAAATATAGTGTATATTATATAATATAGTAATATATCATATACGTGTTATTTAGCCTACATAACGTTAGTACATAAAGGTTTATAAAAGAAGTCAGAGTAACTGGACATTATTTAAATAGAGTTAAGTTTTTATAGGTAAATAAAAAAGTAAAGGTTATAATAATAAGTGTTTAAAATAAAAAAGAGAGAGGATCAGCAAAATGATACGTGTTTTGTGACTATTTTGAACTAATTTTTGTATTTTTACATTCAGATAATGATGAATGTTCGCATAAAATGTCAAATAAGCAAAATGGCGCTTCTGTCAATTCAGTAAACGTTATTAATGAATGGTTGTATTTTAAACACACCAGTGGTTTGCAAAACAGGATATTGCAGTTTATTAGATTATTTTTATGCAAAATAGTAATCAAACATGAAATATTTATGTACATAAATCTTACCTCACTCTTTTAAGGCGTTAAAACTGTTTAAAATAGTACACGTGAAGCCCCGCCTTTTTAAATTTGACCAAATGATCAATCAATTCAAAGAAGGCGGGACTTCACGTGTAACAGTTACTAAACTTTTAACGGTCGAGCGTGAGGTAAAATTTTTTTATTAAACACCAGAAAATATAAATATTGAGCACCTTATGTCAATGAATCTAATTAGGATTAATAAATTAGATTTAAATAGGGCTAATAGTAGGACGAAATTAGCGTAAATCAGTAAATTTACTAAAAAGCAAGATGCATGGCGTCCAAACGGTGCTCTTCGGGATTGATAATTTAAAATGACATTCGGATAAAACCATTACTGTGCTCGCTTTTGTATTAGTAGACACTTTAGGAATATTTTAATTTATACTTTTATTTTTTTCTCATCAATGTAATGCCATCACAATGATATCAATGCTACTGCATCTGTTAAAATATTGTGCTTTTTGTTATCATCTTGAAACACTGCAAAACAAAAAGCCTGTGTAATAATCAATAACACTTACAGTGGTTGATTCAGGGCATGTGCCATAGTGTTTTGGACTGGCATTAAGCTTAATATAAATCTATTGAAAATTCTAAGTGATATATTTGAGTATTTTTTGTCATAGCCATAGTCATAACCTTAAAGGTGTACACACATTTTATTTTGGATTTAAAGCTAAAAGACTGATAGAAACATGAGGAGAATTGTACAATAGCATTTATCTGTAAAATTTATTTATGATTTGATGTTTTTAATTAATTCATTTGAATGATAACAACTTAAATTGACTGTTTATGACGTTTTTTTCAGTAGTTTAGTAGGCGTTCAGGGCATGTGCAATGATGTTTTGGACTGGCATTAGTCTAAATCTAAATCTATTGAAAAGGCTTAGTGGTAGATTTTGAATATTTGAGTTTTGTTTTTTGTCCATAAACATATTCATAGGCTTATGCAAATGTGACAGGACTGACAAAAACGCAGGGATAATTGTAAAATATAGAATTTATTCATATTTTTATGTTTTTAATCACTTGATGTGAACAATAACAACTTAAACTTGCTATTTATGATTTATTTCATTAGTTTGGTAGGTTTTCAGCATGTGTAATAATGTTTTGGACTAACATTAGGCTAAATCTAAATCTACTGAAACTGCTTAGGTAGATGTTGAATATTTAAGTATTTTTTTGTCATAGCCATAGTCTTTAAAGGTGGATACACATGTTTTATGTTGAATTTAATGAAAAAGGACTGACAGAAATATGGGTACACTTGTAAAATACTATTTATTTGTAGGATTAATTATGATTTCATGTTTTTAATTAATTCATTGATTTGAATGATAACAAATTGCAGTTTCTGTTGAACAGAACATTTGAGTATTTATTTGTCATAGCCACAGTCCTTAAAGGTGTATACACACTTTTTTTAAAAAAAATGTAACGCAAAAGGACTGACAGAAACATGGAGACAATTGTAAAATAGTATTTATTAGAAATTGCATGCAATTTTATTTTTTTAATCACTTGATGTGAACAATAACAACTTAAACTTGCTATTTATGAAGTTTTTTTTCATTAGTTTAGTAGGTTTTTAGCATGTGCCATCATGTTTTGGACTGGCATTAGGCTAAATCTAAATCTGTTAAAAGTCCTAAGAGGTAGATGTTGAATATTTGAGTATTTTATTGTCATAGCCATAGTCATAGCCTTGTCAACGTGACAAGACTGATAGAAACATGGGGACGATTGTAAAATAGTATTTATTTGTAGACTTTATTTATGATTTAATGATTTCAATTCATTCATTTGAATGATAACAATTTAAACTTGCTATTTATGAAGTTTTTTTTTCATTAGTTTATTATGTTTTCAGGGCATGTGCCATGATGTTTTGAACTGACATTATAGGCTAAATCTATTTAAAATGCTTAGTGATAGATGCTGAATATTTGAGTATTTTTTTGTCATAGCCATATGCAAACGTGACAAGACTGATAGAAACATGGGGACATTTGTAAAGTAGTATTTATTTGTAGTATTTATTAAAAATGTCATGTTTTTATCACTTGATGTGAATAAGAACAACTTAAACTTGCTATTTATGAAGCTTTCTCATTAGTTTAGTATGTTTTCAGGGCATGTGTCATGATGTTTTGGACTGGGATTAGGCCAAATCTAAATCTTCTGAATATGTTTAGTGGTAGATGTTGAATATTTGAGTTTTATTTTTATCATAGTCATCGCCTTAAAGGTGTATACATGCATGTTATGTGGTGTGGAATGCAAAAGGACTGACACAAACATGGAGACAATTGTAAAAAAAAAAGTGTTTTTTTTTTTTGTATGATTTATTTATAATTTCATGTTTTAATCTCTTGATGTGAACGATAACAACTTAAATGAGCTATTTATGAAGTTTTTTCATTAGTTTAGTAGGTTTTCAGGGCATGTGCCATGATGTTTTGCACCGGCATTAGGCTACTGTAAATCTAAATCTGTTGAAAATCCTCAAAAGTAGATGTTGAATATTTGAGTATTTTAATGTCAGCCATAGTCATAGCCTTATGCATGGGGACGATTGTAAAATAGTATTTATTTGTAGAATTTATTTATGATTTAATGTTTTTAATTAATTAGTTTGAATGATAACAATTTTTATTTTAAGCTGAATTGAATGTAATGCGGACAAAAACATGGCGACAATTGTAAAATAGTGTTTATTTGTAGAATTTGTACATGATTGCATATTTTTTATCGTTCATATGAATGAGAACAACTTAAATTAAGTGTTTATGAAGTTTTTCTCATTAGTTTAGTATGTTTTCAGGCCATGTGCCAAGATTTTTTGGACTGGCATTAGGCAAAATCTAAATATAATAAAAGTGCTACGTGCAGATGTTGAATATTTGAGTATTTTTTTGTCATAGCCATTGTCTTTAAAGGTGTATACATGCTTTTATGTTGAATTCAATGTAAAAATACTGACAGAAACATGGGGAAAATAATAAAGTAGTATTTATTTGTAAGATTTATTTGCAATTTCATGTATTTAATAACATAATATGAATAAAAACAACTTAAATAAGCTCTTTACGAAGTTTTTTTTTTCATTAGTTTGAAAGGTTTTCATGACATTAGGCTAAATCTGAATCTATTGAAAGTGCTTAGTGGTTAGATGTTGAATATATGAGTGTTTGTTGTCTACCTCATGTGTTACATATGTGTGCAACTTACATGTGCTCAGTTCTAGTTAATCTTTCACCAGAGCTCGGCAAGTGTAATAGATTACAACATTAACAGCTTAACCATTCAATGCTTAAATGTGTGAATGTATGTGACAGAGTAACAAAAACTCACCTGTAGTTGTGAAAAGCTTACTAGAGTGTTTTTTTTCTTGAGTCATCCTCTGGCACGTGTGGATTTAACACCACCACAGCCTGTGCCCTTTTCACCTGTGTTAATAAAACAGTTATGGGTGATTCGACTGGGAGTTACGGTTAAAGTTTGATGGCCATTAGAGTTAGACATTGAGAGGGTTTACAGCGTTGTCTCAGTCAGATAGAAGATCTTCAGACTTTGAGGAGGCCTGTGAAGTCTACAGGTAAGCAATTCTCTATTTACTCAATGTATATAAACTCATTACGAACTTAACCGAGAGCCTTAACTACTTCCAAACACAAAGCAAAGAGAAAATGTAACGTATAAGAAATGTTTTGCGGCATCTGTCCTGTTTTGTTGGAACACACACAACCTAATTTCCCCTTCTTTGTTAAGACTTGTAGGAGGAAATAGCTCTTTTTCTGCGTGTGAGAAAATGCGAGTCTCTTGTGTGGTGGGTTTAATTTTGTTGGCTGCGGGCGCTGCAGGTTTCTCTGAGATGTGCTGCAGTTCGTTCCCACACACAGCACAGTCTGACAGGATTTAATGTGGACAGTAGCAGGGCTTTGAAACTATGAAAAGACGCTTCTTCTGAGGAGGATTTCACTTCATACTGGCTTTTTTCGTTTTAAGTTTTCACATTATGTATGCATGAAATCGCTCTCGCCTTTGGCAGGATACATAAAGCTACATTAAGCAAGCTTAAATGTAAAATGCCAGCTATCCAGGATCCATTTTGTAATTCTTTATACTGTAGTAGCTTTTTTCACCCCCTTCTTTTCTTTCTTTTTTTTTTGCTTAATACAGAGGCTGATTTACATGTGCATTTCATTACAAACATTATAAAGGGGTGGTGCAACATCTTTGAATGTAATATGCTGAAAGTTCAATGCAAAGGGAGACATTAGCCCCTTTCACACAGTGATACCGGTAAATATCTGGAAAATTTCCGGAACAACTTTACCGGTATATTCAAAAAAGCGCTGTTCACATAGGCGAGGACATTACGGAATTTTTCCAGAAAAGACCATTCACACATCCATTCCAAAATACCGGTAAATTCTGACATCATTCACCACAAATGAGCTTTAAACGGCTGCGCTTGTATCTGTAAACATTTGACTACATTACAACTTCGATGAAAACATATGGAGGATGACTTTCGCATGTCGATATGTTCATAATATGTGTGTGTGCTGGCGCTCACAGGCTGTTTCACAGGCACACGCAAAACTTGAAGGTAAACAAACAGCGCCTTATCATAAGCATCTTATCGATGATTATTTACACGGTTGGCATTAAGATGAGCATAAACGTTATCTGACTAACTTCTAGCAGCTAAATGCGTCTGGGAAAATATTCAAAGGCTTTTATTCTCATAAACCGCGCGGATGTAAACGCGTCTGACTGTTCTGATTGGCTAAAGCAGATGTCTCACGTCAGCACGTTCTAGACGTGAACGCGCTCTTTCCGGCAATCTTCCTTCTGCATTCACACAGCGCAGCATTCCGGCAACTTACCGGTAATGTTACAACTTCTCTTTCCGGAAAATAGCCAGAACGAATTTACCGGTATTTTCAAAAAGGACCTGTTCACACATACAACCTTTCCGGAAAATTGCCGGTAATTTTCCGGAAAGGTCTGTATGTGTGAAAGGGGCTATTGGCTTTTACAGAGTTAGCTTAGCAAAGCCTACAGCGAACAAAGTTTGGGGACTACAAAAAATACATTCGGGTTAGTGAGATCACAAGAGTTTTCGGTTTTGCGCATCCACCACATGCACACACTGGCGTGACCAGAGGAGTTGTAATTTTATAGCAGAGAAAGCTAAAATGGCGTCCAAACGCTGCTATTTCCACAGAGCTTCTTCTGTTTCTATATTTGGGCTTTCAAGGGGCACGACACAAAGAGAGAAGTGCTTACAGTTTAATTGAAATTACGTTCCAGAGAATTATAAAAAAAATATATAGCTAGCATTTGACAAAGGAGAACTTCCAAAATCTCTCCCAGTTCAGTGCTGGGTTTGGCTAAGAACTCCTCCAACTGACGAAGCTGTGGATTGTGAGCCACAACCTGTAAGTGTAGTAAGGAAGTAAACAAGGATGTAAACCACACATCCATCCCGAAGTTTACCATTCTATGCATTCGCTGGAGACTCCTGGATGCCCGCGAACAAATGATAATCTCCGGGAAATCACACGTCTCCACCTAATCCCTCCCTGCTCTTCTGATATGTCACGCAACCAAGCCCCCCCAACCCTGCTCTACAGACACATTGTGCATGTCTCCCCACCTCTTCAGGTACGTCACGCAATCCTCTACCCAAAAACTTCAAATTTGTTGCGCACAACACCGCCACCCCCACCCCCCCCTCTCCCGCGGCCTCTCGTATATCATCTCTGTCTCCCTCGGAAATGACTTTTCCCAAGTTGGGATGTCTGACAACGGGAAATGCTGTTGAGCACCGTTAATAATTTAGCTACAAATTCATATTTATCCGTCAAACCTCCTTTTTCACGCCCCCCTGTTTATTTTTTTTCCCAATTTCTGTTTAATGGAGAGAAGATTTTGTTCAACTCATTTCTAAACATAATAGTTTTAATAACTCATTTCTAATCACTGATTTATTTTATCTTTGCCAAGATGACAGTAAATAATATATGACTAGATATTTTTCAAGACACTTCTACACAGCTTATGTCAAACCTCTGTAACCACTCACAATCTTCCGCAGCGCTACAGTGTCTCATCATGCGGACGCTTTCCCTGCGTTTTACATCTCAAATAACAAACTTGCAAAAAAGATGAAAATGTTTCATATTACTTACACATGCTTATAACCCGAACATATGTGAAAGACGCTTGTCAGATTTTAATTTAGAAAGCAGACGTGAGGTTCAGCTGTGTGCTCTTCATTTTTCTGTCTGATTCAGGCAGCTAACGCTGCTACCAGTGCTCTGACTGGACTGTTTATACAGCGCAAAAGTATGAAGACAGATTAGACTCAATAATAATTCACGCAAAAGACACGATGTACACATGCGTAGCCAAATTCACGTGCGTAAAATATTTATATTCACAAAAAATTTTCACGTGCACAAAATAAAAATACATTTCATAAAATACGTTTCACAAATGCAAAACACCATTTGCAAATGTATAAGAGTGTACAAAAAGTTTTGAATGTTTAAAACTTGCGAGTTCATCCTGAATGAGAATGTGCTAATCCTCTTTCGCGTACGACTCCCCCTGGATACGTGTGTGAGTATTTTTGAGACTTTCCTGGCAGAGGCAGGGTAACTCGTACCTTTCAGCCAATCAGATGAGAGCTGTAGTCAATGACACCAACTCTGCGCTTCATTTGCGCAGACTGTTTTTCTCCAGCATGGCGAACGGAGAAAGCAGCAGTCGCACTTTTTTTTCATTTATTTAATTAATTGACCATAGCCTTACTCTTTTTATCCATTATTTTGCCGCAGCCCCGCTCTTATTATTTATTGTGTTGCAGCCTCATGAGCAAAATGTAGCCTGCAGAATGATGAATTATCATTCCGGCAAGACAAGCATAGCGGTGCCATTGTGGTCTAGCGGTCAGCACGTTGCGTTATCAAGCCACCGACCCGTGCTCGATCCTCACCTGAGTTGGACTTTTTTTTTTTTTCGTGAAACGTATTTTATGAAAATGTATTTTTAGTTTTTGCACGTGAAATTTTTTTGTGAATATAAACAAATATTTTACGCACGTGAATTTGGTTTTATGCACGTGAATTTGGCTACGCATGTGTACATCGTGTCTTTTGCGTTAATTTCTTTTGAGACTAATCTGATTCCATACAAAAGTGGGTGCTTGTAGGGGCGCTATGTGGAGCCGATCCACAAATCACAGCACATTATGTTAACTGACCAATCAGAGCCTCTTGAGGGCAGGCTTTTCAGAGAAACTAGCAAATGTGGGGTCGATTTCATGCTAGCTGAGAAGCAGTATACAATGAAAGTTAGACATATGAAAAAATAGCGTACATTTCTACAAATGAAGCATAAGCACACATCTTATAAACACAACCAAGCCTTAAAAATACGCTGTGGACCACCTCTTTAATAGAAAAACCTTACTAGAAACCAGAAGAGATCAAGAATCCTGATCAGTTGCAGTCTTTCTCACAATAATCAATATATGGACTTATCACACGACATATGAACATTACCTCAATAATTTTTGATGATACAATATACTGTATATCGCCCATTCATAAAAAACAATTCTAGCTCCATTTGAGCTGATTGTGCAACATGTCTATCTTTATTGAAGGTGTCAGTGGAAAACACTACAGTATTGTCAACACAATCTCTGGGCAATTTGTAACTTTTTTTGTCTGGCTAATTTGTATGAATTTGTACAATCTAATCTGTACAATTTATTACGATTTGCTCATCCCCCAATGAAGGTTGGGTTTGGGGGTGGGGTTAGGTGCCATGCCTCCTTTTTAAAATCGTACATTTTCGTACGACTGAACTCGTACGAATTTGCCACTAAACTGGCAAAACGTAAAATACTTACGTTTTTTCGTGAGATCAGGCTGGTATTGTATATGTTCATATTGGTGTCTGTTAGCTGAAAATAGATCGGTATCAGATATCGCAGCCTCTGTTACTTTTTACCTGGTGCTTTTTTGTTAACATATATTATTATTTATTTGCGTTTTCACATTCTGATTTAATGACTTATTATTAAACTTTTAAAAGGATTAGAGATAAATGCAATATTCTTAATAATAAAATATGATGTGTATTTTAGAAGAGTGTATTTGCACCGTGATGATATTATATTGTCATTCTGGCATTATATAATACTGAGTGGCATAAAAGGGTCTTAAAATGACAAAAATGTTATTTATCACAATATATTTTGGTGAAATATATCATACAACAAAATATAGGTATTGTGACAGGCCTTATTGCATGCTTTATAATTATCTTGATTGTTTATTTAGGAACAAAGCTGTTAAAAATGCTTTCTTTCTCTAATGTGGATTTAAATTGCAATGTCTGCATTCCGCTTGATGAATTACGATGTGTTACATAAAGTCTAGAGATAGTTAAAGGACACCTTTAAGCATAACTTAAATCATACAATCATTGACTGCCAAAGTTAATATGACCAGGCCGCGGCTATGGAGACACATTCCTCATATATCTTATCTGTTCTCAGGTTCAGTTTCAGATTTAATTAGCTGTAAAAACATTTATCAGTTTAGCTTCGCTTGTTGTTTGATAGACAGAAACATATCTTGTATGGACATATAGGGCTTATATGTGGATAAAAAGAAGCAAGACAGGACTCAGGAGACCTATATGGCCTGTAAATGGACATACAGTTAAAGTCAGAATTATTAGCCCCCCCTGTTTATTTTTTCCCCAATTTCTGTTTAACAGAGAAAATATGTTGTTCAACACATTTTTAATCATAATAGTTTTAATAACTCATTTCTAATCACTGATTTATTTTATCTTTGCCATGATGACAGTAAATAATATTTGACTTGATATTTTTCAAGACACTTCTATACAGCTTACAGTGACTTTCAAAGGCTTAACTAAGTTAATTAGGTTAACTAGGCAGGTTAGGGTAATTAGGCAAGTTATTGTATAAAGATGGTTTGTTCTGTAGATTATCAACAAAAATTTAGCTTCAAGGGGCTAATAATTTTGACCTTAAAATGACTTTTAAAAAATTAAAAACTGCTTTTATTCTAGCCGAAATAAAACAAATAAGACTTTCTCCAGAAGAAAAAATATTATCAGACATACTGTGAAAATTTCCTTGCTCTGTTAACCATCATTTGGAAAATATTTAAAAAAGAAAAAAATTCAAAGGGGGCTGATAATTCTGACTTCAACTGTATATGCACCTCAGTTTTGCCTATATGTGGCATATATATGCGTATAGGCAGTGTATATACCATCATATATGTGCATATGTGCATATAGGTTTCATATATGCACATATATCCTATAGGTTCTTTCTATGTGGGCTCGTTCTCTAACTTGACATTTTTTTGTTGAATGTTGCAGGAAAATGGTGCAGAAGTCGACAGTTGCGGGTCTTGTTCTGCTGCTGCTGGCTGCCGTCGGGACGTTTCTGGCCGTTTTCTTTTCAGTGCAGGGTAAAAAGGCTTCGTCTGATCCAGAATCGGGCTTCTTCAAGGCAGCAGTGGCCACAGATGCTGGAACATGTTCAGAGATCGGCAGGTTTGAGCTCCGACCTCCTTTATACACTGTAAAAGTTGCTTCCCTCTTGCCTCTAGATATTCGCCTTGCATCTTAAAAAACAATGTGGGAAACGGATCTTTATTTCTAAGTTTTTAAATTGTTGTTCGTATTTTGATGTATTTTTGTTTCAGTGCAAAAAACATCAGTGTGAGCACATCTATGGAGTCAATCTAGGGCCATATATATATATATAGTTGAAGTTTATTTATTTATTTTTTCCCCTAATTTCTGTTTAACGGAGAGATTTTTTCAGCTCATTTCTAAACATAATAGTTTTAATAACTCATGTCTAATAACTAGATATTTTTCAAGACACTTCTATGCAGCTTAAGGTGACAAGTCACCTTAAGTTGCATAGAAGTGTCTTGAAAAATATGTAGTTAAATAATATTTACTGTCATCATGGCAAAGATAAAATAAATCAGTTAAACTAAATCAGGCTTAATTAGGTTAATTAGGCAGGTTAGGGTAATTAGGCAAGTTTTTGTATAAAGATGGTTTGTTCTGTAGACTATTGAAAAAATATATATTAAAGGGGCTAATAATTTTGACCTTAAAATGGTTTTTTAAATTAAAAACTGCTTTTATTCTAGCCGAAATAAAACAAATAAGACTTTCTGCAGAAGAAAAAATATTATCAAACATACTGTGAACATTTCCTTGCTCTGTTAAACATAATTTGGAGAATATTTAAAAAAGAAAAAAAAAGAAAAACAAAGGGGGGCTAATAATTCTGACTTCAACTGTACTTGCCTCATGAAATAAAGTTTTGCAAACAAAAAAATAAATCATTAAGCAAAAAAATTGTAAAATAATGCAAATCTCAAAAAATCGGAAAAATTGAGTTTTGAGAAATAAAAAGAAATTTTGCAAACAAAAATAAAGAACTGCTAAAAAAATCAAGTAGTGCAAAAAAAAAAAAAAAAAAAAAAAAAAAAAAATATATATATATATATATATATATATATATATATATATATATATATATATATATATATATATATATATATATATATTTGGATTTTTTTTTAAATACACATAAATTTGCGATTTTTTATTTCCTGCTTTGCCTTTGCAAAACCTCTCAAGTCAATTGCAACGCTCATATTGATTTGCTTTTCAGTCAACCGCGAGTTTGCGATGCTGTTTTCTTTTTGCGCTTCACATTTCTGTGCGTTTCACTCTCTGGCACTGATTTGACAAGGGGGCAGAGTCACAGGAACCGGGGCGTGTATGGCATGCCCGGACATGCCTCCTATGAAGCGAAGTCATCGTGACACAAAGGAAATCAGCCATGAATTGCAGTCGTAAATCTAATCGAGATTAAACACCTGAATCTTTTGTTCTTGGGGGATGTTTAAATTGTCACAGCAAAACTTGCAAATCAAAATGAGCGTTGCAATTGATTTAAGAGGTTTTGCAAAGGCTGGATAATACTGAATTTCTTTGCAAATGTATGTATATATTTTTTAAAAATGCAAATATTTATTTACTTTTTGCACTACTTTATTAGCAGTTCTTTATTTTTGTTTGCAAAATTCCTTTTTGTTTCTCACAATTCAATTTTTCCTTAGCAATTTTTTGAGACTTGCATTATTTAACTTTTTTTTTTTGCTCAATACTTTATTTTTTGTTTTGCACAACTTTATTTTATGTTGCAAGTATATATAGCCCTAGATTGACTCCTTTTTAGCCCTGGAGTTTCAAGCCTTAGACCGGCTCACCTCAGTTCACAACTGACTATATTACAATAAAGTCATTTCTTATTCAGTTTCTAATGACACTATCACGTCTTTTTTAGGAAAACAGCTGCTTTAGAACTTTAAATGTTCAACAAGCCAAACAGTATTATATGTCTTAACATTTAAATAAAAATAAAAAGTAATAATAATTTACTAAGGGGAGGTTCAATCTCAGGTAGATGGTGTCATAATGCAAAGTGCTAACCACTAGACCACAATAGCGCTGGTATACTGTTGTGTTATGATGCTTAATCTTTTTCCCCTCTTTTTAGATTTCTGATCAAGTTATGTCAGATTTATTAATGTAGTGAATCATCAGATTTTTATTGAGCAGGTGTAATATTCATTAACATCAATTATTCAAATTCTTATATTCACTAAGGTGCCGCTGTTTGGGGTCGAATGATAGTTCATAATTAACCTGCAGGCTGCATTTTGCTCACGGGGCTGCGAGAAAATTAATAAAAAGAGCAGAGCTGTATGGAAGGTAAATCCTGCCAATTTTAAATAAATCAAATAAACATTGGAAATGAAAATGAAAATCAGATCAACAATTCCATTTTAAAACACTGTTCGCAAAATATCTGCCAAAATTGAAAATTAAATGAAATTATTTCATTTTAATTTTCACTTTGACAACACATCGTCCCTGTCAAATTGATAACTAAAATGAAGTTGCCAATTTAACATTTCATTTTCACTGAATTTCCACGTCCAGACTGCCAATATTAAAATAAAAAGCCAAACTGAAAAATAATATGCAAACACAATTTTTCCAAAGCGTGTTGTTAATGTTCACGCTAGAATAGTGACACAATTCAAATGAAAATGTACATTTAAGCTTTCCTTTTATTGACACTTTTTCATTTCAGTTTTCATTTTCGATTTCATTTTCAACTTAAAGCTGTATGCAAAGCCTATGCTAATCAGTGGGAGGTGCGTATACAAGTGACGTTGTGTGCTTTCACACACAGAGCGCTTTGGTTCTGTCGATGTCATTTACAGATGATCCCTAACACTGCGTGCATGTATGTCTGGCGAATATGAAACCTAAAACCAACTTTACCAAGATGATTTAGCTGTCTTTTAAAGATTTTAGTACTAACAAGTTGTTAACGTCACAGGACCTAATACAGTATACTATACAACTTCATCACAAGGCCTACCGCACTTACGCTGCAGTTTCTCTCTTCCCACCGAGGAAGCCCGCGACTCCTGCTGCGGGACAAAAGTTTAACGTTTGGTTCTCCTGTGTCCCCTGTTCCTCTTGCTGTACCAATGCAGCAGCTGCTTCACGTAAAAGCTGACTAACAGTTTTTGCCATTTTACCTCTGTTATACTGTATTTACACTAGTAACTCACGCTGTCCCATCCATCAGAACAGTACTTCTGCCCTCGGGCTCTGTGTGTGAAAGCACACAACGTCACTTGTATACGCCCCTCCCACTGATTAGCATAGGCTTTGCATACAGCTTTAAGTTGAAAATGAAATCGAAAATGAAAACTGAAATGAAAAAGT